AGTCAACAAGACCCTGATAACAACACCAATGTTATTTCAAGAAAAGAAAATTATAGATCAATAGCTCTCATGAACATGAATTCAAAAATCATTAACAAAAAATACTAACAGTCCAAATATTCAATATATTCATATACACATACTTCTCACATATATATATGATTGATAGATCAATTGATCATGACCGAGTAGCTTTTGTCCCAGGATTGCAAGGTTGGTTTAACATGAAAATCAGTCCTGGAAATTTACCATGGTAGCAACTCTAAGCTGTTATTTGTTTCAATAGAGGCAGAAAAGGCATTTGACAAAATTTAACAACCATCATGATTTTAAAAAAATTCTTGGCAACTTAGCAAAAAGGAAACCTCTTCCACTTGATAAAGGCAATTTTCATAATGATGAAAGACTGAATTTTTTCTCCCATAAGCTAAGAAACAAGACAATGATATCCCCTAAGATTGGAAGCAAAGCAAATATGTTCATTCTCACCACACACCACTTCTATTCAACATGGTACTAGAAGTCCTCACAAATAAAATAAGACAAGTTAAAGACAAAAATTAATGGACATTATTATTGCAAATGAAGAGGTTAAGTAATCTATTCACGATGAAATTACTGCATTTGTAAAAAATGCTTTTTTTTTTTTTTAAAGATTTTATTTTTATTTATTTGACAGAGATCACATGTAGGCAGAGAGGCAGGCAGAGAGAGAGAGAGAGAGAGGAGGAAGCAGGCTCTCCACTGAGCAGAGAGCCCGATGCGGGGCTCGATCCCAGGACCCTGAGATCATGACCTGAGCTGAAGGCAGAGGCTTTAACTCACTGAGCCACCCAGGTGCCCCAAAAATGCTGTTTTTTTAAAACTATCATTTGTGTACAAAAAAAAAAGGGAAAGAAAATATATTAATGTCTCATTAATATCTGGGTATAACATCATGTCTGGAAGGATAAATGAGAGGCCAATAAAAGTGATTACCAGTTTGGAGGTGAGGTTAAAAACTCATGGCTTGAGAAGGGACTAAAGAGAGACTTTTTGCTTTCTACATGATTTGAATTATTATTTTAAAGTAGTTAACATTTTACCTCTTCAAAAATATTTTTTTGGAAAAAAAGTACTTAAAGTTGGCATTACCCTGTTATGTGGTAAATAATGTGATAAATAATGAGCATCCCTTAATTACCGTGGTCCACACCAACCATGCTAGAACTCTTATCGGACTGTGGATTCCATGCAGCATGCTCATCAGTTCAGAATTACACATCCATTTTTAAAGGAAAGTTTTCAAGTGTCTTTTATGAAGTGCATTAATATAAACTATAGTTTGACTTTTGGTTATTGATCATTCACTGTCTATCCACCACGGAAACCTATTTACTGCTTTCTCATTAAACCTTTTCCATGAATCGCTCCTTAGTAAAGATTGAATGTTATTTCCCTCTCCCTGTTTCTCTCAAATACTAACCAATGCACTGAAGTAGCAATAATATAGCAACAATAAAATATAACATTATTTAGTGTTTATGAGCAAATACTATGTTAAATTCTTTATATGCATTGTTTCAATACTGAACAGCCATAATTCTGTCAACAAAGATGGGAAAAAATAAGAGGTTAAAGGCCCGATTCTGATTCAGATTAAATAGCCATTCTCCACATAATCTTTAAGTCGTTGTACTCTACAGTTTGGTACAGTTTACCAGTTGAGAATCATATAGCAGTTGAGAAGTGTGTCTGTATATGCACATGTGCATGCATGTATGTTACAAAGGAAACTCATAAATGGAAATATTGGAGATTAATTGGTGAAGAGCAGCAGAATTTAGAACAAGCTTACATACTCATATATAAATAAAGACCAGTTCCAGATTAACATTTTGCATTCAATAGAAATTTGTACATGTACACAGACCAAAGCAAAATTGTTTTTGTCTTTAGGTAATTTAAATGGAAATATAGAATTGTTTTAACCTAAATTATTAAAATAATTTGAATTATGTACACCTGACCAAGGAAGTAATGAATTCTCTCTCTTTTTTTTCTGACTGCTGCTTCTTGCTTCAGTTTTCCTTATTAATCTTTTAAGGCTGCTAGTAATATTCCAAATATTTTACCAGTTTTGAATCCACCCAATAGGCTCATTCACTATTTGTTCATCTCTGTTCCTCGTAAACATGCAGTAATCCCCACTGGTAATTTCAGCATTCCGAAAATGTTAGAAAAACCACAGTAAGCTTTACCCTGAGAATTAACCAGCAATGACATTATCAGGCCTGCTTAAGCACCCAGATGATTCCATCTGCCCTTTAGCAATGTATACTATGATAGCACCAAGAATTCCCTCTGTCACAAATACCTGGACCAGGAGGCACTCTACTGCAGCCCCAAATTAGGAGTAGCTGTGCTTTTGGCTTCCGAGCTGTAGACAGCTTGGTGGGGGACAGGCACCAAGTTGCTGCTGCTTTCCTCAGCCTCAGACCTAGAAGGGCCTGTTTCAGTGCTCATCTTGGTAAACCCTGATAGCTCCCTGCAACAGGAGCCCCATCTGAAACTAATGAAGTAAAGATGGTTTCTGAAAACCTCCTGTACTACAAAACATTATGCTGTGGCTCTGAACATACTCCTCTTCATATATTCTCTCTTCTCCTCTCCCTTCCACATCCGTGCCCTTGTTTAGTTCCAGTTTCCATTAGAAATGCTATTTGGGCAGCAAATTTCACAGATTGGATCCATCTCGATGCTGCCATGCAAAGAAAACACATCTGTCTGACTCTTCATTTAAAATAAGGAAAAAATTGAAATAGCAAAATGCTGTAGTCGCTCAGAGCTATTTCCTAATGAACCAGTTTGTCCCATGAGCTGTACTGAGGAGCTTCTTCTCCTCCTCGGTGAGAACTCTTTATGCATATTAATATTATGCATGTTTTCCATGTGACTCCTTCTGACTTGCCCTCACCCCATCCTTTGAATTCATTTAAATAAAAATAATTTATGTGGACATTCCTTCAGTCAGGATTTTCTCTCCCCTTTTCTTAAAGACATTCATAATATTTCGTTGATGCTTTGCATCCAAACCGAGTCGTTATGCTTTTGCATATCATTAGGGCTTTTTAAAGAACAACAGCGACATCTGCATGTGCCGCAGCGCCAAGGAGATAGGAAAAATACCGAAAACAAACCCATATTGGCTTGGAGGCTGTCTGGCTCTCTGTCTCCCCAGCAGCCCCTGCCACCACTATGGTTAGGAGTAATTGTACAGTGTAATCACATCATGCCTCATCTGAATATTCATAACAGAGACAAAGCTTTGGAGGATAAGGGAGGAGTGGGGATAATTTAAATATAAAACAGCATCTCATTTCCAAATCAAGTTGTACCAGTTAGACTGTGTGCACCAGGATTCAATATTAAACCAACATTGTTTTACAGTTTGGAAATTGGAAGTGGAGAAGATGGAAGAGAGAAGAGACTTGATAAAGAAGAGATGACATTATATTCTCATTCTTGATCAAGGAAAAACAAAACAACAACAACAACAGCGACAGAATAAAAATACTTAAAGTGATGTTTGAAGAGTCACCAACAGTGGCTAACCAGCTGCTGTTTTACCAGGAATGAAATAGCCTATTGAGGGAGTTTTAAAAGCTCCCAATTAATATGTTGTGCATGTATTAGATCTACAAAGAACTCACTGTATTCCTCTTTCCCCACAAATCCCCCCAATACACACATATTCCCTAACCACCACCTTTCTTTCCTGTCGGATGCAGGAGAAAAAAGATCAGAGCTACAAAATAATTGACTAATCACTTCGAAAATGACAATATCCCCCTTAAAAGAAAGGACAAAAACAAACACATACAAAAAGGTGACTGTTCATTAATGAAGGGATAAATTACCGATGGCTTCTTCATTCTCTTTAGTTCATTACCCCCCAAAAGAAACAATATAATCCACGTGTTAATATTTCTTGTCTTCGTTTTCTTTTGTTTTAATATGATGCTCTTTATTATTATTTTTTTAACTGTTGGTATTTGTAGAAGCCTCTGCCACTGCATTCCCCAAAGAGCTACTAGTTTCAACCCACTGGAGTTTATATTCCTTAATTGTCTAGTGCAGGAACATTTCTGCTGTTTTTAAAAATATACCGCTCTGCAGGAATTAGAAGAATCCAAGGTTGTATCCAACTTCAAAGGTTTCCAAGTCATAATGATTTTAGCAAAAGTAGAAGACAGATCATGGAACAAGTCCCTGTTTGAAGATAAGCATCATAGGGACCTTTTTTTCTTCCCTCTCTCCCCAACTTTGTACTTCTCCTGGCTCTGAATGCCCCTCGCTAACACGGTTTAATGATATGCAAATGAAATATGCATAAAACCATTCTACTGTATGATGATTAAACACTGGAGACATTAACAGCGGAGGCTTCACTCTTTGTAATAATCCTTCCCGACCATCCACTTTGATTGCGGAGTTATGGAAACCCATAGCAGTTGGCAGTGAGAGTGAAAGAGCAAGAAGGAAGGAAAGATGCAGGGACACATCACCCATCTCGGTGTTGCTCCCACTCCAGGAGAGGTTCCCCCCCTTTGTACTGCGTTCCTATTGCTGTCTTTTGTAATCCATCCATGCAGTCGCACCAGAGCGATTAACGGAAAAAACCTCTTTTCTCTTAATGTTTCAAAGCTCATTAGCCAAACGATTATTCCTCATTAACAGCGAAAGCTCATTCAGTAAAAGGAGAATATGCCCAAAAGATGCCAGCGCAGTTCATCCTGAGTCCCGTACTGGGCTGTAAATCCCATACTACTTGTATATTCCATGCGAAAAGGACACGCGCCAATCCACATTAAAAAAAAAAAAAGAAAGAAAGAAAGAAAAGAAAAAGAAAACAGTTTGTGTGTTTTGTAAAATCCACAAGAGCAGCAATTAATATTCCCATAGAATGACTTTATTTTTTTTATTACTTTTTTTTTTTTGTCTCTCCCCTTTGTTTCCAGCGCCTGCCCCTGGCTCAGTGCCTGGTGCCAACAGAACACCTTTCAGGATCCACAGCAACGCAGACAACGTAAGTACCAGCCGTTTCCTGAAACCCTTTTTCAGATTTTTTTTTTTAAAACGACCACCTAAAACATAGAGACAAACCTCTTCCCCCTTCTTTCCCCTTCTTCTCCCCTGCATTATGCCACCAGGGTTTCCTAAGTAGCACCTTCCAAATCCCTCTGCCTTCAAGTTTGTGCATGTCTGTGTGGCATCCCTCCTCCTCCTTCACTCCCATAGTGGATCTTGTAAAAGGGCTTCAGATCGGCCCCATTCATCTCCCTGGTGATAGCAGTGAATGTAGATAAATCTCTGACTGCTTGCTGCTGGAGTATGATTTTTATTTTGTCTTCTGTGTATACCTGGGTCAAACAGTGGGATTGGATGCACACACATACATGCACTTATACACATTTCCCTCTCTCTCCTTCTCTGTCCTCCTCTCCTTTTCCTCACACATGCATACATCCCACATTATGTGTATATATGCATAAACATATACACCTATATACATACCCATACCTATAACACAAAAATAGACACATACCTAAATGTTTCATTTGTCTGAAAATAATGTGTATTTATATACACATACAGCCTTACAAATGTGTCTAAATGCAATCGATAGGTGCCTATCTTTTAATTTATACCCTTCTAGGTCTCCATTTAAAATTCCCTCTCTTCTCCCAGCAGAAGTTGTGTGCAATTGCAATCCAGGATTGTATAAGCAGTATTCTTTCCTTATGATTTCTATTTGTAGACCTTTATGCTCCCTTCTCTGCCTTCTTCGGAGCTGTAGAATTGGCATCGTTCCCTGAGGTTTTCCAAATGGCAAGTGGCACCGGCTGTGGCATGTATTCATGCCGCTTCCTATGGCATTTCTCTTCCGATGTCTGCTTTTGCTCTTTGTTTGTTGTTGACTAGGCTGAATGGTGGGTTTTTTTTTTTTTAAGTTAATTATAAACGAAGTTGAATAGCAAACAAACCAACAGCTTGCCCAAAAAGAAAAAAGAAGGAAAAAAAAGCCCCACACAAGCGCCTTCTGCTGCAACAGATGCCCAGATCACCCCTGGCATGGGCAAATGGGCACACAATTTTGGTGGTAGTTAATTTTTTCAGTTTGTTGCTGTATTTGTTATTTGTTTTCCTTGTTTCCTTTGATTTTTCAAGGAGTCCAAGATCCCGGCCTCTGCTTGGAACGGAACAGTGTCATGGCGGAGACGACGGCCTTTGTCTTGCTGGGTGTGAAAGCATCCGCTGTGCTTGCTCCACTGCGGCAGAATCAAGTTTAAAGGAAGAAAGTGATTAAAGTCAGCTTTGTGCCTCTTTGGTATGGAAGAACCCCAAACCCCAAGTAGCCGAGTCTCTGGGTCCGAGGAAGGGCTCATAGTTGGAGCAGCCTAGGCTGTAATCCTGGCACTTGCGCCTTCGGTTGCTGCTTTCTGTTCGCTCCTGGGGGTCTGGATAATCTCCCTTGGCTTTACCGCACTGTCTGGCCCGCATACAGGGCCCTCGTAACATATACCCGCTGCTGCTATCGCACGAAACTGTGGCGTTGCCCCTGAATGGATGGCACTGTGCCAACTCTTCTGCCATCCGCCCTTGCAGCTTTTTTCTTTCCTCCCTCCCTCCCCTTCTTCTCCTCCTCCTCCCGTCGACTTGACGTTAATTAACACACGGGTTAATTGATTTTAAAAGCCGAAGAATTACAGTTAACTTTTCCCACAGGGTACAGACGCCAGCCGCTTGGCACACTCTGCCTTCCGCACTGGTGCAGGGGGGCAGGGAAAGCCCGCAGCAAAACTGGCAACTGCTGAGGGAACGTTGCCTGCTTATTGGAGTAGAGCCGATAGAAGTCGACGTGATACTGCCTCGTCCTTACGGTATATGTAGCCATTCTATATTTTGTTAAATAATCAAAGCACACCTTGTCTCTCTTCTCCCTTCGTCTTTCAAAACAGGAAAACCCTTCAGAAGTTCTTATGGGGGGTAAAAAAATCCCTCCCCTAGCCCATTTATCTCATCCATAATATGCCCTTTTCCAATAATAAGAAAATACCTGAAGCCTTTTTTAAGTACAAGGAGGAAGGCGACCGCTTCCCTAAATATCACACCTAAAGATTTTTTTTTTAAAGGAAAAAGTTCCGTGAAGTTTCTTTCTCTGTATATTACTGTTTTAATTTGTCCCCATTTCTCTTGACTCGCATGGGTTATTTATAATAGATTTCACTAAGAAAGTAGGTACATTTTAATTAAAAACAAAATTCATGTGAAAGTTCTTTTGGTTTGTTTGTATGTTTGTAGAATTTTGCTTCCTGTCCTTATCTCTCCCCCTGTAGAAAATGAAAGCAACTGATACTGTAGTTGGGAAGGAGACAGGCAAAGCTGGAAACTTGATGCTTTCACCTTTTCATGCTTTCATTTTATTTCATTTTGTTTTTTTAAAAGCATGCAGCAACTGAAGCGACAAGAGGAATCCATTATGCAAATCATGTCACTTTGCATAATGTCTCATGACTGGAATATGCAAATGAGCTGTATAATTTATGAGTGCCAGTGTCTGTCTAAAAGTGTTTCACATAATTTACAAAGTGAGTCTGAAAGACATGGGGAAGGCAGTTCTTCCAACCCCACTGCCAAGGAATCTCTGTGTACTTTCCTGCAAGTGCTCCCTGGTAATAGTGTCAAGTGCTATTTAAAAGAAACTAAGGTTTCAAATATTCATGAAAGACAAAGATTTTCCCCTCACTCTCTTCACCCATATTCTATTAATTTTGTAAAATTTTAGGCAAAGATGCCTAAAATTTTACAAAATTAATAGAATCTAAAGCATTAATTTTTTGATTCAATTTGGAAAAAAAAGTTAATGGAGCCAAATTTGGTATTTGTATATGGATTTTCCCTCCTAAAGCAAGGAATGTCTTAGGGAAACAGACACCTTATCCATTTGTCTGGATATTTGAATGCAATAAAATGGGACTTCTCATTTTGGTTGGTTTTGTGTGTGTCCTGCTATGTGCAACATTTTATAAATTATGTTCTCTTGGATGTGTTAGACATATAATATGGAAGTCAGATGCATTTAAAATTCTTCTGAAAGTATAATTCTCCTTTCATAGATGTCTTCAAAAGAGAAATGCTATTCATTAAAAACCAGGTTTAAGTTCATTAAGTCAGCTTAGTTGGCTGCTTCATGTCTCATTTTGGTAACTTTTTTGAGTTGATGATTTTGAACCTTTTGAGAAGTCATAACATCTTTGATGATCTGCCCTAATCTACTCTTATATTTTTCATTTTAATCATAATTAGTCCTGTGAAAGAGATATATAGGGTGCCATGAAAATGTGTACCAGGAGGAACTGATCTTTGGAGAGCATGTCAGAAAAGACTTCCTGAAGAAAGTGAATTCAAGGTGAATGCTGAAAGTTGAAAAGAAATTAGACAAAAAGAGGGAGAAAATATTTTCCATGTAGAGAGTATATTCAGTAAATCCTAAGACAACAAGAGATTAGAACAAGCTGCTTGGAAGAACTAAAAACCAGTGTGGCTAGAGACAATGGGTCACTGGATCATACTGGGAACAGATTAGAAGGTAAGCATGTGAAGAGGTAACTTATACATTATCTGCATTTATGTGCTGGTACATGGTCTCTTATATCATTATTAATTGTATATCCATGTACTTTGTTTACTATGTATGATCATAATACTTTTTATAAAATAATTTATTTTTCACATTCAAGCAATGAACCATCAGATTTCTGAATCCAACATTATGTGACCTATTCCTTCTCTTTGTGAAGTTTTATTTCCAAAAGTTAATAGCCATTTAGGAAAATGAAAATAAGAGGAACATCCCACCTACCAAGAGCAAAATAGGTTCTTTTCAAGTATACTTGGAACATTCACAAAAACAGATCACTTTCTGGCCTTAAAAAAAAATCAAAAATATTGAAGTCAGACAAAATATATTATCTGGCCAACAAACTGAACTTGAAATCAGTAAGAAAAATTAGGAAAAATCCCAATTTTTTGGAAATTAAGTAGATTTCTAAATAACACATTGGTCAAAGAAGCAGTCACAGGTAAATTAGAAAATGTCTTCAATCGAATGACAATGAAAATGCACTACAAAATTTGTAAGATACAGCTAAAGAAGTACCTACAGAGAAATCAGGTTTAATGCCATATTTTAGAAACCAAAAGTTTTGGATCAATAATCTGTTTTAAGAAAACAAAACAAGAAGTAAGGAAATAATAAAGATAAAAGCATAAAGCAATGAAATTTAAGATAGTGGGGAAAATCAACATGCCTAAAATTTGGTTCTTTGAAAAACAAAAATTGATAAGCCTCTAGTCAGACTGAACAAGAAAAAAAGTGAGAAGACACAAATTATCACAACCAAGAATGAAAGAAGGGACATTACTAAAGATCTGACAGATATAATATGAATATTAAGTGATAAGAAAATAATAATTTTGTCAATAAATATAACCTAAATGGAAAAGTTCCTTAAATAACAATCAACCAAAATTCAGTGAAGAGGAAATAACCTTCTTAGTTTTTTATCTGTTGAAGAAGTTGAATGTAGTAGTTAAAATACCTTCCTGTAAAGAAAACACCCAGCACAGATGGCATCACTGGCAAGTTTTACCAAAATTTAAGGAAGAAATCATGTCAGTCCTAAACAATCTCTTTTAGGAAATAGAAAATGAAGAAATAGTTTTCCACTCATTTTATGAGGTCAGCATTACTTTGATGCTAAAATCAGACAAAGGCAGTGTAAGAGCAAAGAACTATAGACCTATAACTCTCATAAACACAAAAATCCCTAACAAAGTATTAGCAAACTGAGTTGAATGATATGTAAAAGGAATGATACTTCATGACCAAGTCATATTATTCCAAGATGTAAGGTTGGTTCAACTTTCTAAAATCAGCAGGATTCACCATATCACTATATATTTTTAATCATCAATTCAATGGATGTTGGTGAGGATAAGCTGCAGTATCAAAACAGTGTGATAATTATGTGAGGATAGACTGAAAGATTAATGGAACAGAATAGAAAGCCCAAAAATAAACACTATTTTTTTAAGCACTATTTTTGACAAAGGGTCAAAAACTATCCAATGGAGAGAGAAGTGTCTTTTCAATACATAGTTCTGGAACCAAGTAAATAAATAAATACCTTTACACATATTTCAATATATACAAATATTAATTTTAAATTGGTATTAAATACAAACCTAAAACTCTACAAGTTCTTGAAGAAATATAAAATCTTTGTGACCTTGGGCCAAATGAAAGATTTTATAGATGGGTGAACGAAATCTGAACCATAAATGAAAAAGAGAAAGTGGACTTCAACAAAACGGACAACTTCTGCTATATGAATGACATTGTTAAATGAGTGAAAAAGCAAGTTACAGACTTGGACCAAATATTTGCAACCGAGAATGAGGAGAATAATTAATCAATCTAAACCAACCCAAAAATGATACAGAAGATAGAATTAGTGGATGAAGACAGCTATCACAAGTGGATTTCATATATTCACAAAGTTAGAAGAAATCAGGAATATATTAAATAGGCACATGAAAGATTTAAAAAAAATACTCTAATTAAAATGTAAAGGCTAAGACTACCATGTCTGGGGTGAAGAATATCATGTCAGGAAGGGATTCAGAGATTAGATATTTCAGAAGAAAAGTAACAGGAAAGTAATGATCAAAGCATCTGTAAGTTGTGGGGTAACCTTTTGTGGCCTAATTTTTGTGTAATTGAAGCCCTGTGAAGAATAGATAGGAGAACAAAAAAATTTTTCTTCTAAGAAATAGCTGATTTTTTTCCAAATTTGGTGAAAATTATAAACCCAAAGGTCCAACTATCTCAACAAACCCCAAGCACAAAAAATATGAAGAAAACTACACTAAGCACATTATACTCAAATTGCTTAAAATCACTGTGAAGCAAAACAATTTAAAAACCTCTAAAGAAAAGAAGACGTATTATGTATAGAGAAACAACGATAACAATCACAGCAGATTTCTCATTGGAATCAATGCAAGCTAAAAGACAGTGGAGAAACATCTTTACATTGAGGGGGAAAAAAGTTAAACTGAAATTCTATAAACAGCAGAAATACATTTCAAAAGCAAAGATCAAATACAAACTTTTTCAGATGTACGAAAAAGCTGAAAGAATTTATCATTAGCAGACCTGCACGACAAAAAATGTTGAAGGAAACTTTAGACAAATGGAAAATTATACCACATAATGAAAAGCTTTGGAAATGGTCATTATGTTGGTAAATTCTAAAAAATTTTTTAATAAATATGTTTATATGCAATTGATTATTTGAAGCAAAAATAATAGCAGTGGATTGTTTTTATAACACATGAAAGTAAAATCCATGACAGTAGCACAGAAGCTATTGAAGAAAATGGAAAAATGAAAGAATTGTTATAAAGTTCTTACAATGTACATGAAGTGGTATAATATCACTCAAAGGTAGACTGATAAAGTTGTATGCTATAAACTCTTTTTAAAAAGCAAAAATGACACTTAAAAAGAGGTATAGTTAATAAGCTATCAAAAGAGTGGAGTTATCAAAAAATGCTTAATTAATTCAAAACATTTAGCAAGATGATAGACTTAAATATCATCTTCTCTAATCACATCAAATGTAAATGACCTAAATATCCTAATTAAAAGACAGAGATTGCCAGGTTGCATAGAAAACAGCAAGACCCAAATATATGCTGTCTATAATGACACCACTTCAAATATAAATATTCAAATAGTTTAGAAGTTAAAGGATAGGACTAAATATGCCATATTCACATTAATCAAATGAAGACTGAAGTATATGTATTAATATAAGATAGTATATTTCATTGCTCATAGAACCAGATGCTAGAAAGATGAAGTCTGTTACTACTGTATCCTTTTGCTGTCTGTGGCAATAAGTAGACCCTAGCTTCTCCTTTAATTGATGGATTCTGGATCTGAGAATTGGCTCTGGTCTGGAAATAGCAAGGGATTATGACTTTCCATTGAAGTGGCTAACTTTTTTTTTTTTTTAAGATTTTATTTATTTATTTGACAGAGAGCACAAGTAAGCAGAGCAGCAGGCAGAGGGAGAGAGAAGCAGGCTCTCTGCTAAGCAGGAAGCCTGATGCAGGGCTCAATCCCAGGACCCTGGAATCATGACCTAAACTGAAGGGAACCACTTAACCAACTGAGCTACCCAGGTGCCCCTGTAGTGACTGACTTTATCTTTGCTCATTCAGTCTTGATCTCTTCGAATATATGTTAGAATTATAAAACACCTTTATTTGCTGCCCATTTATCTTGTGTCTGGTAACATCAAATTCTATGAGCCACATCCATAAATCTCTGTGGGTCAGGCACCCCCTGGTTTCCATTTGAAGCTTGCTGCCTATTATAGTACTAATTTCCACCATCCTCCTGATAATTAAGTACTGCCATCTAATCTCTGCTTTTCCTGGATCATATTGTCCACAGTTACAGGAGAGATTCCATTTCTATAACATTATCATCACTTTTGAAGTCCCCACCTACAAAGGACACTTACCACTAAGCTACCCAGCAATGCTAATAAATGAAACATCTTCCAAATCCTTCCAGGGAACGTAGTAAATTGGATATGTATCATGTCCACTCCAGCATACCCACTTGTCTGAGGTTTTTTTTATTACTTTCTGAATAGTTTGTAACACCAGTTATCAAATCTCTATTTAACATAGTCCATCACTCTTTCACATTTCCAAGAACTATCCCATCAGTATATTAAAAACGGACTCCAAGAGCCCTTGTCAGGGCATTAAATCTGAGTCATGGAAAAGATCTCCTATTAGGCAATTTGTATTCCAGTTCCCTGGTTCAACTTGCTCAGGATTTACTTTTGGGCATGTTCTGGCAGTTCCAATAGTACTTTTTAGCCAGGTGCTTCCACTGTCTTTTGACATTAAATCTCTTCCCTTAGCAGACCCAAGATTTCTCCAGTGGGACTATTCTGAGATTTGACAGTCATTGCTTTGGTGCCCATGAAGTTAGGTTCTGAGAAAGGAAAGCATTATAAGATACCTACTTCATTTGAAACCTCTATGTGGTCATCAAACCCCTATCCCCAACAACTGGAAGTGGGTCCCATTCACAGAGCCAAAGGATTGAGGATAATCTTGGTTTCAAAGATCACAACTGCATCATTAATATATCTGTCTCAGAGCTAAGGGCCTCACCTCTGCAAAAGGGCCCTGACATTGGCATAGAAGACCTGACTGGAATGAGCAATCAGCCTTCTCTTTAGCTCTGCTACTCTTGTAATTAAGTCACATTGCTAATCTTAAATCATGTTTGCCCTTTGATTTTTATTCTTTGCTTTAAATTTATCAATTTAATTTAATTGACCTGAGTCTGTTATTCTTTTCCTTCAATAAACCTCTGGTGT